TCTGAAGAAAATAGGTATCGTGACATATTATGGAGGTTTATTGTATATTATGGAGGTTCACAATCAGTCATGCAATTACTTCAGCTGTCTACCTTATTGAATCCTTTCTGCTACTCCCAAAGAAGCAAATTTGTTATTCTAAGTGAATTTACGAGTAAGATTAAATTTCAAATTAACTGTAATAACAAAGTATTTGGTTCCTTTGAATACACACTCTGGAATGGACTTGATAGGAAATAGAGGTTAAAACCAAATAAAATGCACAAAGATATAGGTACATTTAATAATGACAAACTCAATGTGCACAAAATATATACAATATAAGAACATCAAAAATTGTATCTCATCAACAGCCTTTAATAGTCCACTGCTGGACATAAGCCTCTCCTTAGAAAGGAGGTTTGGTCCGTGTGGTGACGGATTAAGAATACAGTGTCACCACCCCTATTCATCCCGTGGGTGTCGTAAGAGCCGACTAAGGGAAAAACTACGCAGAACAACAGCACTGCAGAGAGAAGGAAAACTTGACACAAACCCTATACCAACCCGTCTGGCCAGCGTGGTATAGTAGGCCAAAACCTCCTTTCTAAATTGTATCTAAAACTACTTAAAAGATAATAAATCAAACGAAACTAAGCGTTCCAAGAGAGCATATATCAAAAATAGTCACAGATCAAAACACAATAATTACCAATCTACAACATATTGCAAATGTTTTAATGACTATTTTATAGACAAAGTTAAACCCGTTCATACCAATGTAACAAATATTTCAGAACCTATAGATAATAACACCAAATCAATGTTTACACCACCTTACCTTCCAATGGACGTCGACACAATAATAAAGATTCTTAAAAACACAAATAGTGTTGGGTATGACGGTATCCACACTAAAGTAATAAAATCCGTTGGGCTAATTATTTCGAAGCCATATTATTAATGTAAGAATAGACACTGGAATATATCCAGACAGAGTAAATAGTTCGGTGGTTAAACCTCTGTTCAAAAAAGGAAACAATGAGCATATGGAATGCTATAGACCAATCACATTTAATCCCATATTCTTAAAAGTTTTCGAGAAATATATTTCTAAGCAACTTTATTCTTATCTTGAAAAATACAATCTCCTGGCAGTAGAACAAAAGGGATTTAGACATAAAAAGAGCATAAATAGGGTCACCTATGAATTCTTAAATATAATTGTATCTAAAGTAGTACCTACTAATACCAGTATGCGCCATATTTTGTGAAATGACGCAAGCTTTTGATTACGTAGACCATAAAATCCTACTAGAAAAGCTTGACAGTTATGGAGTACGTGGTAATGTCAATAACCTAACAAAACCGTACCTGACGAACAGAAAACAATATACAGAGCTCAGAAAAAATAATTTTGGAAACAAAAGAGAAGAAGTATACACGTCTCACTTACGAACAATTTATTACAGAGTGGGGCAAGGTAGTGTCCTCGGACCCTTACTGTTCATTCTATACATCAATGATCTACCCAAAGTAACTAACCATCCTGTTACTTTATTTGCGGATGATAGTACGATATTATGTATAGATAGATAGTAGTATAGTAGTTATGTAAAAATCGCGCTTACTATGAAACATACATTAATAATACGCTCTATAACATTATAACATGGATGGATAAAAATAAACATAAATAAACAAATTTAATTCAATTTTCACAAGACAAAATATGAATATAACATATAATATTTAAAATAAATTAACATAACATTAAAATAAATGGCATCGAATCGAAATGCCTAGGACTAAATATTGATATTATTATCAATATTTAGTCCAATTAAGCTTATGCTTAATTGGAAAATACATACTGCAGAGTTATGCCAAAAAATCAGCAGTACAGGCTGTTTAAGCTTGCACCTCTTCTCAACGATGAAGGTACACTTAAAGCATATCATGGAATGACCGCCTTCTAACTTAGATATAGCATACTATTGGGGAACTAGAAAAATAAAGATATTGTTTTTAAATCTCAAAATCAATGCATTAGAGCAATGTTCAAATTAAAATTTATAAATAGTTGCGTACCATATTTTAAAAAGTATAAAAATATGACATTACCATCTTTATACATCTTTGAAACAGCAATTTTTGTAAAGTCGAACCCGGGACTTTTTGTAACGCTAGCTGATACGGTGATTCGTGATAGAAGATAACAAGTAATAGGATCCGAATACGAAAAGCAAATACAACATTAATGCACAAAAGTATATTCTGTATTGCCATATAGAATATACTAGATTCGATCGATCGGGTATCTTATTATAGACTAGCTGAGACCCGCGGTGTTACCCGTGTTTGTTGTTATAACCGCGGGCAAAGCTGCGGGGCAAAGCTAGTCTAAAAAAAGTAGCCTAAGTTACTCCTTATGTCATCAGCTATCTGCCAGTGAAAGTCCCGTCGAAATCGGTCCAGCCGTTCCAGAGATTACCCGGAACAAACAGACAGACAGACAGTCAAAAATTGTAAAAAATGTTATTTTGGCATATGTACCGTGTATACATATGCATTTAGTAAAAAGCGGTTATTTTAATATTACAAACAGACACTCCAATTTTATTTATTTGTATAAGATACCCGATCACATTAAAAATCTAGACATAATCCTATTTAAAAACGTCTACAAGAATGCCTAATTGAAAATGTTACTATGATGTAAGAAAATTTTTAGGTGGTAAATAGGAGTAATGAATAAATTAACTGACATGAATTAATTTACATATTTGTTTTATAATTTTAACTATATTTTTATTAGCGAATTCTATTTTTATTTTTTATCCTTATTGATATTGTAATTCCTTCATTGACATAAGACTCAGACATTGATTTTGCATGTTTTAAATTCCAAGGTATAAAAAATCAAAGTGAATTATGTCATTGCTTTAGTTGCGATAATTGTTCTATTTGCATGTCATAAAAAATTAAATTATTGTAAGCCTAAATGGCAGAACATAGTTGATCATTCCACTACTGTAAACATCCTATGTATACTACAATAAAAAATGATTGATTGATTGATTGATAATCCTTTCAAAAACAGATATAGTAAAAATTTAAAAAGCCTGTTTAAGCGTGTAGATCATTCTCTTTTATCAATAGATTTGTAAAGTAACATGGAATATGTTATGAATAGACCTACGGCTGGTCAAAAAGTGCTGATACAAAGACTCTACCTATACTTACTACCATGGTTCATTAGCGGAGATACTATGTATATGTTATAATGCCGAGACATTTTCAATTACGCTTATTTTAGAACAATACCTTTACAAGTATCTTCCTATGATCTTTAAATTTTGTTACAAAATACAAAAAAAATGAAACACAAAAAGTTAAAAGTTGTCAAACATAAATATACCTAACAACCAATTGTACAATAATTTCACTAGATTACTTTAGTAAGATAGTTATAAACCACTTTAATATAAATATATTACAGTATATCGAAGGAGAAAATATTTTTCTCAATAAGTCTGTATTCTTTAGAGTCGAAAAAAAAAACAAAAGATCCACATTAAGCGGCTGGAACCATGTTTATCTTGTGCATTCTTAATATTAAATTTGTAAGACTTTCAAGAAAAACGACCGTCTTGACGGATTAAGAATACAGAGTGTCACCACCCCTATTCATCCCGTGGGTGTCGTAAGAGCCGACTAAGGGAAAAAGTACGCAGAAGAATATCCCTGCAGAGAGAAGGCAAACTTGACACAAACCCTATACCAACCCGTCTGGCCAGTGTGGTATATTAGGCCAAAACCTCCTTGCTAAGGAGAGGCTTTTACAAAGCAGTGGACTATTTAAGGCTGTTGATGATGATGATGATGATGTGAACAAAAACGAAACATTTAATTGCATTTTAGTTCACAATATTACTAGTAAACGACCTTCATGCTTATGATGTAATGGTTAATGTAATTGTAGGTGTAGTAGATAGTGTAAGTAGTAGTTTTTGATATCTTGTATGAATATTATAAACATTGTTATTAAAAAATGTAGTAGGCTACTTTAGATTATGTAGGGTTGAAGCCTATTTTAATAATTTTAAAAGGGTTTTTGGTGTTTATTTCTAAATCTGAAGCACAAACTTATAATCATTAAGGAAACCGTTCTCGGAAACTGGTTGATTTATTTAATTTGAAATGTGACCTTTTCAAAGCTCTTGTACTACCCATATATCGATAATTCTTTTTAAACGGTTATAATTGATGTTTCCCACATCGATTATAAGCAGAATCAATTAGATTCTCCGTATTCACAGCCGTCAACAGTCTACATCAAAGGAAAATAATGCATTTGTCAGATATTTTTAGGTATATGTGGGTTAATCTCAAAATCTTTCTAGTACATCCTAAGAGATATAATATATATAATGGCCCGAATTATATAGTGCCGTATCGCTGTATAGTGTTTCTTCGAATGTCCATGTCATAAAAATTGTTATAATATCTGTATGAAAATATTTAATAAGTTGCCACCAACCATAAAGACGTTGCCCTTATTGAGGTTTAAACGGAAATTGAAAAAAAAAATGACTTTTAGAAAAAATTACATTCACAGTAAATGAATACCCAAATGAGATACGATCATTACCAAAATACCTGATAACGTATGTTATTTTTAATAATAAATGATGAATGAGAAAAATTACATTGCAATTATATATTTGACATTATTTTTATTTAATTTTTTGTTATCAAATCATTCTATTGTTATAATTTGCATGTACATTTAAAATATTGCATGTTAAACAAAATATTGTAACAGACCGACGAAATGTGTAATTCTTTCATAGTAACTATTTACAATCTATGTAGCATTGGCAGTTATTAATTGTCGGGCATCTTAATTGGCAAAATTGAATGATCACACACTAGTCTGATCTACGTAAACCATGGATAGATCTTAGCTAAGTCCCAGTATTACCAAGGTTGACATTTAATGGTTAATAGATACTTACGTTGATTTAAAATTGTCTATATTCACCGTCTCTTTTTCTTTCGCCATCTTTGTTGTCTGAAAAAGAAGAATATAGAATTTAATTAAAAGAACAAAGAGAGACAAAATTATTATTGGTTAATTTTTTAATGGACATATTAATTAGGAAAGTTTTGATAGCCGTATATTTGTTACTCAAACACAGCAGCAATGATATAACAGATTTTGATGAGTATATATAGTTTTCTACCATCAGAAATTTATTAAACATAGGTAATATAGATTAACATTTTAGTACAGCAAACTTACTATTGATATATGATTTTAGTTATATTACTTCTGTTTACCTAAATAAATTTAATAAATGAGACTTTTAACACAGTGACTGCACGGATGGCGTAGTGGTTTAAGCGGTCGCCACGCCGCTTCCGCCGAGAATTGTGGGTTCAAACCCCATATGGGACGACTGGGTGTTCTTTGAGTCCGTTTTATGTATGTTTGTAAAGTCCCCCGCGACACAGGATATATTCCTAATCGCGTTGTCTTTAAAAAAAAAGAAAAAAAAATATTTTTTGGTATTTATATATTATATATTAAACTTGGTAAAAATTTGAATCTAACATTCGGAGCGAACGCTATCAAATTTGCCGATGGTAGTTTTCAGTTTACGTTTTCATACCTAAATCACTCCAATACAAATACTTAAACCGATTTTAAAAATTATTTAACCAACGGAAAACTAAATTATCAGGCTATTTTTTACCACCATAACTAACATACACACATTACATTTTAAATTTCTGTGCATCTAACATGTTTTATCTCTGTATCGCCCTTTTTTTTTTCCGTGCTGCAATCCCCTCGGATACCACCCATCCAATAGCCGGGGAACCAGGTATACCCTAAAAAGGAAGTCCCTGGTGTTCTCTGTATCGCCCTAAGGTTGACTGGGAGAAAAGGCCTAAGGCATTAAGTCCGCCTTTGTCACGTTTGTGCATAAAGTTTAAATAAATAAGTAAAATACACGCACTCAGAGCAGCGGGCAAAAGCTGGTACATAATAAACTTACAAAAGTAAATAGAAATTCCCAGTTAGAAGTAAACATTTTTGAATACACCCACACTACAGATGTATAATACAGTTCTATGAAATATTCAATGTCTTTTCTAAACAAAGCAGTTTTACAATTGTTGTGAGAGCATTTCAAGTAGGAATATTTAATTAGACGAGTGGGCAGCGAGTGAGGTATAAACCGAACCAAATAAGTTAACAAAACAGTTCTAAGTATTTAGCTAAGTACTGCCCGAGGCTACCATATATTTTCTAACATGTTCATGATTTTAAACATTTTCATTTCATAGAAATCAAAGCTTCAGTTACTTCGGCTTTTGTTTTGTTTGTATTAATAATTTGCTTTTTTAAATTATCTACTTCTTAAAATCTTAAACAAAATGAAATTAATGACAGACCAGGTATAATATAATATAATATATAATATATTTTACTACATTCACACAACGCCATCTAGTCCCAAACTAGGCAGAGCTTGTACTATGGGTACTAGACAACTGATATAAATACATATATACTTTTTTTTTCGTACATACATATTATACATAGAAACACCAAATAAAACATTAAATGTTCATGCACACAAATGTTTGAGTTGAGCGGGAATCGAACCCGCGACCTTTGGAATAGAAGTCCGTTACACAAACCACTACGACATCTGGTCGTCGAATATTCGTTTCATTTGAAATCAAATTTTTTCTTAACATTTTACCTGATACCTTAACGACGCACAAGTTCGATATATAATTGTCAGCTTTGTAATAGTCAATAAGAATATATAATGTCAACGATATATATGATATTAGCTTTTGCAAGCGTAAGTTGATTATCTCGGTAAAAAGTAGGCTGAGTTACTCGCTGATAATGTAGCTTTCCATTAGTGAAATAATTTTTAAAATCAGTATAGTGGTTAAGGTGTGAAAGCGTAACAAACAAAAAAACTCACTGTCACATTTTTAATACCAGTAAAGCTTAAAATTACTTACACAAAACCATCGATCTAATCAAGAACTAGGCAGAGCTTGAACTATGGTAACCAGACTGCTGATGAATATACTTTTTATATTACTAAATAAATATATATTATAGAAAACACCTAGACTCAGAAGAAATCATCGTGTATCATCACACAAGTTTTTGTCCTCAGTGAAAATCGAACCCACGAGCTCTTTCTCAGCCGTGAAAATCGCTTACCACTAGATCTATGGGACCTTTTCGGGGTTCAAGGTACAAACGACTTCTTTAAAATACACTGTATAAGATGGCAGAGAAAATATTTTTTACATTCAATGTATTTACATTCATTGAGAATATCAGAATTCAATTCCCAAAACTTCAGTATTCCGTTATTAAGATATATGTTCAAAAGTCTTTTCAATATGCGCCGAGCCAATCCGCGGAATATGTAGCACTCGCAACGTTTCGGTCTAATACTATATGACGTAAGCTGTTCTAGATAAGTTCATATTGTTACAAACATATAAAAAGTTTTAAATTTAGTTAAGACCTGTTGAGCGCCAGAACTTTATACTTAAATATTTATTCTGGGTGAGTTTTTAAATTCAAACAGAACTAGTATGTACAATTATTTGGCGTTCAATGATAAACTTATGGTTTTAAATAAAAATGTTTCTATTCGTGATTTTTACATACATATATGTAAATTAACACCATTGAGACGTGCGTTGCCGACTTTGGTTAGTTTAGCAAGTGTTGCTTAGCATGAAACCAGCCACCGCGGTAGAACTAGCCTATCAAGTACCTATTTCCCTTGACATCGACTTGAAACAGATCTGGGCCTCGATTCTTTCATTCCATTGACACGCTATTGATGCCATTAAATGTCTTTGTGATGACTATATTTTGATCAAATATCGGTATTCTACTACAAATTAAATTCACAGTGTCAATAGACTGTGGATGTAGTGACAATGGCTCATCATTAGTGATATTAACAACAGATACAAGCTCTGCTTAGCTACAAACTAGATGGCGTTGTGTGTCAGATGTCCGAAAAGTATTACATATTATTACGGATTTCAAATGTACCGTTTACCAAACTATTACAAAGACATCGACGACAATTGTATCAGTGGCAGTTCAATGACAAGCCTTCGAGAAGCCATTGGTCTTACATAGTTAGTAGAATACGTAAAGTGCAAAACTATTCCGACTACATTGCATCGACAATCTATTGACACAATATTAAAATAGCAGAATTGCTGCCCAGACGGTACCTATTATCTTTATAATACTACCCATTATATAAACTGTCAAACTTTTTAAGGGTTTGATTTTTTTTTTCAGTTTTTAGTAAAGGGTAAAGGGTACTTAAGGGTTTAGTTTCATTCAAAGTCGGTTCAACTTTTTTTTAGCATTCATTAGCAATCATCATTATTAACATTAATCACTTAAAACGGATATATATTGCTTAAATTTAAGATAAGATTATCAGATCCGGACTTACGAATATGGAAACACCATTGGAGCATATGTACATAAAGAATTTTTAAAATCGATTCATGGATGATGGAAATATGGGTGTTCGTACTCCTTCTTTTTGAAAGTCGATTAAAAAAGAACGAACCTTCTTTCAATTATAGAATAGTATTTTTATAATCACATCAACAGCCTTTACCAGTCCACTGCTGGACATAGGCCTCTCCTTAGAAAGGAGGTTTTGGCCTACTATACCTCGCTGGCCAGACGGGTTGGTATAGGGTTTGTGTCAAGTTTTCCTTCTCTCTGCAGTGATGTTGTTATGCGTAGTTTTTTCCCGTAGTCGGCTCTTACGACACCCACGGGATGAATACGGGTGGTGACACTCTGTATTCCTAATCCGTCACCACATGTATTTTTATAATAATATCTTTCAATTAATTTAACAACTTAATAAGGTAATCTTGTCTCTTTCGTGCTTGTATTCATAAAGCCCTAATTAAAATTTGTATTTAAAATACAATCTTTATTCTCGCAAATTCTTGTTATTATTATACACGTCATTATACAAGGCCAAGCTCTAAGCAAGCAAAAAAAAATATGGGCTTAAAATCGGTCCCTTCGGATAGATTACGGTATGGTACCGTTACGTATATGAGAAGTCGTACAAAATTTTGGATTAGTTTAAAAGTATACTTCTATTCGAAACTGAAGGCTACAAGGTTATATTTTGTGTAAATATATTTATTCTCTTCTACAGTATTCCCAGAGCATTAATTTCTTAGCCTAAGTATCTGGCAACGAGTCATTTCGAATTGTCTTTTTAATTTTTAATTTATTAATTTCAAAAGTATGTAATCAGAAGCAAGAAATGACCGTGTTTTAACGGATTAAGAATACAGAGTGCCAACAGCCCTATTCATCACGTGGGTGTCCTAAAAGCCGGCTAAGGTAGCAAACTACGCAGGACAACAAAACTGCAAAGCGAAAGAAAACTTGACACAAACCCTATAGCAACACTTCTGGCCCGCGTGATATAGTAGGCCGACACCTCCATTCTAAGGAGTGGCTATATCCAGCAGTGGACTAAAGGCTGGACTAAATAAAGGCCTTTGATGTGATTACTTATGTACAAAGACAGACATTCCGGAACCAACCAAACGGCAGTAATTTTAGTACAGCCTGAATTTATGAGATATAACTGTTCGTCGGAAAAAAAAGGTATCTGATGCGAAGAGTTCACTAGTTTGTGCATATTTGCTATATTTTTTTCAAAATCCATAGATTAGAGTACCTTATATGGGCTTATAACTTTCCTGAGAGTTAATTAGGTCTTCATATGAAAAAAAGCTTTTACAATATTTTGACAGATCTAAGCGGAGTTCTTGGCTATTACGTCACTACTAGCTAACAGAAATTAACAAGAATATCAGCAAAGAGCGACGTTATAAGGAAAGAGCTGCCATTATTTCGTCCATGTTTGTGTTGATAACAAATCGTTTTGAGAGATGTGAATGAACTGATATCAAATAAACTTAGTATATTCTGAATACTAATCT